TCCTATATAGACATAAGGCAAAATTTCCCAACCCCATAACTCGGTCAAATCTCATCTGATTTTCATAAGGTTTGGCTTTTTGTTCGTAGTTTGACCTCTAAATCAATTTGGCATCAAAAACTGCCAACAAATTTTTTTGGTCAAAATTCATGTAAAAATTGTACCCTCAAAATACTTATATAGACATAAGTCAAAATTTCCCAACCCCATAACTCGGTCAAATCTCATCCGATTTTCATAAGGTTTGGCTTTTTGTTCATAGTTTGACCTCTAAATCAATTTGGCATCAAAAACTGCCAACAAATTTTTTTGGTCAAAATTCATGTAAAAATTGTACCCTCAAAATACTTATATAGACATAAGTCAAAATTTCCCAACCCCATAACTCGGTCAAATCTCATCCGATTTTCATAAGGTTTGGCTTTTTGTTCATAGTTTGACCTCTAAATCAATTTGGCATCAAAAACTGGCAACAAATTTTTTTGGTCAAAATTCATGTGAAAATTTTACCCTCAAATATCCTATATAGACATAAGGCAAAATTTCCCAACCCCATAACTCGGTCAAATCTCATCCGATTTTCATAAGGTTTGGCTTTTTGTTCATAGTTTGACCTCTAAATCAATTTGGCATCAAAAACTGCCAACAAATTTTTTTGGTCAAAATTCATGTAAAAATTGTACCCTCAAAATACTTATATAGACATAAGTCAAAATTTCCCAACCCCATAACTCGGTCAAATCTCATCCGATTTTCATAAGGTTTGGCCTTTTGTTCATAGTTTGACCTCTAAATCAATTTGGCATCAAAAACTGCCAACAAATTTTTTTGGTCAAAATTCATGTAAAAATTGTACCCTCAAAATACTTATATAGACATAAGTCAAAATTTCCCAACCCCATAACTCGGTCAAATCTCATCCGATTTTCATAAGGTTTGGCTTTTTGTTCATGGTTTGACCTCTAAATAAATTTGGCATCAAAAACTGGCAACAGTATTTTTGGTCAAAATTCATGTGCAAATTGTACCCTCAAATATCCTATATAGACATAAGTCAAAATTTTCCAACCCCATAACTCGGTCAAATCTCATCCGATTTTCATAAGGTTTGGCTTTTTGTTCATAGTTTGACCTCTAAATAAATTTGGCATCAAAAACTGGCAACAGTATTTTTGGTCAAAATTCATGTACAAATTGTACCCTCAAATATCCTATATAGACATAAGTCAAAATTTCCCAACCCCATAACTCGGTCAAATCTCATCCGATTTTCATAAGGTTTGGCTTTTTGTTCATGGTTTGACCTCTAAATCAATTTGGCATCAAAAACTGGCAACAGTATTTTTGGTCAAAATTCATGTGAAAATTGTACCCTCAAATATCCTATATAGACATAAGGCAAAATTTCCCAACCCCATAACTCGATCAAATCTCATCCGATTTTCATAAGGCTTGGCTTTTTGTTCATGGTTTGACTTCTATATCAATTTGGCATCAAAAACTGGCAACAGTATTTTTTGTCAAAATTCATGTAAAAATTGTACCCTCAAAATACTTATATAGACATAAGTCAAAATTTCCCAACCCCATAACTCGGTCAAATCTCATCCGATTTTCATAAGGTTTGGCTTTTTGTTCATAGTTTGACCTCTAAATCAATTTGGCATCAAAAACTGCCAACAAATTTTTTTGGTCAAAATTCATGTAAAAATTGTACCCTCAAAATACTTATATAGACATAAGTCAAAATTTCCCAACCCCATAACTCGATCAAATCTCATCCGATTTTGATAAGGCTTGGCTTTTTGTTCATGGTTTGACTTCTATATCAATTTGGCATCAAAAACTGGCAACAGTATTTTTTGTCAAAATTCATGTAAAAATTGTACCCTCAAAATACTTATATAGACATAAGTCAAAATTTTCCAACCCCATAACTCGGTCAAATCTCATCTGATTTTCATAAGGTTTGGCTTTTTGTTCATGGTTTGACCTCTAAATCAATTTGGCATCAAAAACTGGCAACAGTATTTTTGGTCAAAATTCATGTGAAAATTGTACCCTCAAATATCCTATATAGACATAAGTCAAAATTTTCCAACCCCATAACTCGGTCAAATCTCATCTGATTTTCATAAGGTTTGGCTTTTTGTTCATGGTTTGACCTCTAAATCAATTTGGCATCAAAAACTGGCAACAAATTTTTTTTGTCAAAATTCATGTAAAAATTGTACCCTCAAAATACTTATATAGACATAAGTCAAAATTTCCCAGCCCCATAACTCGGTCAAATCTCATCCGATTTTCATAAGGCTTGGCTTTTTGTTCATGGTTTGACTTCTATATCAATTTGGCATCAAAAACTGGCAACAGTATTTTTGGTCAAAATTCATGTACAAATTGTACCCTCAAATATCCTATATAGACATAAGTCAAAATTTCCCAGCCCCATAACTCGGTCAAATCTCATCCGATTTTCATAAGGCTTGGCTTTTTGTTCATGGTTTGACTTCTATATCAATTTGGCATCAAAAACTGGCAACCGTATTTTTTGTCAAAATGCATGTAAAAATTGTCCCCTTAAAATACTTATATAGACATAAGTCAAAATTTCCCAGCCCCATAACTCGGTCAAATCTCATCCGATTTTCATAAGGCTTGGCTTTTTGTTCATGGTTTGACCTCTAAATCAATTTGGCATCAAAAACTGGCAACAAATTTTTTTTGTCAAAATTCATGTAAAAATTGTACCCTCAAAATACTTATATAGACATAAGTCAAAATTTCCCAGCCCCATAACTCGGTCAAATCTCATCCGATTTTCATAAAGTTTGGCTTTTTGTTCATGGTGTGATTTCTAAATCAATTTGACAGAACCTATAAGAGCTCGAGACTTGAAATTGTAGATGTAGGTGCTCCTAGTTCCCGCGCAGATCGAGTTTGTTTCCGATAATCGATAACTTACTTCGTTTCCAAGCAATCGATAAAAATCGATATCGATATCCTGTTTTCGGGAAATTTTGGTAAATAATAAGAGCTAGAGTCACCAAACTTGACATATAGCTTCTAAAATAGAATATATATATTCATTTGATGTTGGAAGAATAGGGTTCAGGGTATCCCCTAGTCGGGAGCTCCCGACTAGAACCTCTTACTTGTTTAACTTAAATTTATCCAAAGCTTGAGTTCAAGTTAAATTCACATATATCTTTCAATTTGAGTTAGAAGTCGGTTGGATAATAAACAAGAACTATAAAATATATACATCTACATTTTACACGATTTTTCCACACTTGCGGATGGAATTTGATAAAATCACGTGCACATTCATTATATATACTAGAGTAAAAGCTTGCTAACTCTAAGGATTTGCTTTGTGCTTTGATCAGCAATCAGTCAACCAGTCAATCAGTCAGTCAGTCAATCAATCAGTCAGGTAATATAGAAGAGATATGCAAGAAGATATATATATATGTGCTTCAAAAGATATTTGACTTGCATTTAATTTTTTGAGCTTTTCAGCGAAAGATATGCGACTACTTTATTTGGAAAAGTTGAAAATAACTTTTAGCTTAAAAGAAGAAATATCAAACATAAATGTTACTAACTAACCTGCCTTAATGAATGCATCTTGAAATTCTACGGATCGCAAGGATCTCAAATGTCGTGCAATTGAATTTATTTTAAGTAAGTGAACAATGTCATTTAATCCATCGTGCTGTGCTCCGGCTGGCACATGGCGCATGGCTCCAGTGTCGCCACTCGGCGCAGCCAAAAGGTAATTCAATAAGCAAATCGCATTTCCGCCGCTGAAAGTTACCTTTCTCCGGTTGGCATGCGACGACGCGTCGGCATTTTGCGCATTTTAGCCCAGTGGCATCGCATTGACACCTCGTCAAAAGTTTGCAAAGCATTTGGCCCTGCTGCCGCCGCCGCCGTGGGCTCCATCTTGCTGCAGTTCGTCCGGGCTTGCTAACTGGCTTAGTGCAAATTTAGTATTAGCCCAGCGCTCAATTTCACACAGAAATTAAATTACAGATGCGTCAAAGTGCAGCAACGGGCTGCAATGTGGCTTGTCGAGCGTGGGGCGTGGGGCGTGGGGCATGTGGCACGGGTTGGTGGCAAAGCAAATGAGCGAACATCTCGTTAGTTTTTTGCGTCTTGAAACTTTTTTAATATTTACATTCATATTTTGCACCTTTGGCTGCGCCAACGCCAACGCCAAAGCTGAAAACTCGTACATTTTTCCTGTTCTATTTTATTTTTAGTTCTTGGCCGCTTTTTATTGCTGCCGGCTGCCCGGGCGGCAAAGGGCGTGCCCGGCGGCGTTTGGCCATGCCATAAATTCGTGTTTGTGTTGAAAATTGCATTTGCCTGTACGTTGAGCGGCGACTGAAGAAGATAGAGACAGCCACGGGCCATATTGGCCGCGCCTAAAAGCAGGCAGCGGAAAATTGTAAAACTGTGCGCCGCACATAATCAACTTAACAGAGTTGGGCAGCCAACCCCCAACCCCCCAACCCCCAATCCCCTGTTGTTGATTGCTATTGTTGCAGCACTTAAACTGAACTCCATTTGCTGTTGTTGTGTGCTGTGTGTGTGCAGTGTGTGTGTGTGTGTGTGTAAGTGCTGTGAAATAAATTTGGAAGCAATTTTTGATGTTTTGTTTGGTTGTTATTTGAATTTTGGTTTTTTTTTTCTTTGTTATTCGCTTGCAGATGTCAACAGCACTTGGAAATGATGCAAATGCAGTGAAATCAAAGCCCCTTGCGCAATTTGCACAAACAACGCATGCGGCAAATAGCCATAGCAATAGAAATTCAAATGCAAATAGAAATTGTGGCAGTGGTCGCAACCAAAAAAAAGCACATAAAAAATAAATAACAAAAGCAGCGAATCGAGCAACAGCTGCTGCCAATAACAAACGTCAGCTGCACAGCGCAAAAACAAGCCGCAGCAGCAACAACAACAACAACAACAACAACAACAAAAACAACAACAACGAGAACAACATGAAGCACAGCAGCAGAAACAAAATGAAGAGCCATTTAGGCCCGCTCTTTGTCATTTTGATAATGGCCGCCAAATGCGCCAACGGTTATCCACAGAATCAGCATCATGGTAAGTAGAGTTTGGGCCTGCATTCAATTGGCCCCCCCAACATTAAATTCTAATCCAATTTGATGCCACTTGCTGTGCACAGAGTCAAACTCACAGCTGGATCCCGATCCGGAGTTTATTGGCTTCATCAACAATGTGACATATCCGGCTGGCCGCGAGGCCGTCTTGGCCTGTTCGGTGCGCAATCTGGGCAAGAACAAAGTAGGTTATCCACAGCCATGTCTAGTCCCTCTCCATTCTCGATTGATTGCATTTTCTGCCTTGTTTCTCAGGTTGGCTGGCTGCGTGCATCCGATCAAACGGTGCTCGCACTCCAGGGACGTGTCGTGACGCACAACGCCAGGATCAGTGTGATGCATCAGGATATGCACACGTGAGTATAGAGCAGTTCAGCAATTACTAAGGAACAATCCATAGAGCTTATTCTATAATTATTATTTAGAGGATATCGAGCTGTTTTGAAAAATCGTATTGCACAACAAATTTCGGTTTCACTTGCATTTTCAACATTATTCACTTGACTTCGCCGACGTCGGGCAATTTGTTATATGTGTTAAAGCGAAAATGGGGCTGTTGTTTGGGTCTCTTTTTATTATTTCATTGTTAAATGAAAAATTGACTGTTTTGCGCGAGGGTGCGCGAAAAGGATGTACTGGCCAAACCAAAAAGGACACGAACAAAGGACCGTCGGAAAATGTTACAATTCAATAAATATTAACTCACAAACAGGTCCTTTAGTCAATTCACTTTGTTCGATAACTTTGCATCTGTTCCCAGAGTAAGACTCCCAAACTGGTTAGAATGTCGCGAAGCTTACATTGAAAGGGTGTCCACAATGATGAGCTTGTGTTTCACCTGGGGATCCACCTTTGGATGACGTAAGAGTCAGTCGGCAATCTCCACCTTTCTTAGGCGCAGATCGCGTTCGATGGGAGGTCGACTACCTGCCTTGGCTTGAACTATTCTTAATCAATGAAGCTGGTCTGCTGATCGCATGGGAACCTGGAATCCAAATGGGCATCAGCATCGCTTCGATGAGCAGCGCCTTTGTAGAGCTACCCTTCCTTGATAGGTCCCAAAACTTATTCAAATTTCAATTTGATAACTAGCCAAAATAGGCATCTATCAAATATGGTTGGATAAACGAACTGCTTGGGGGTCAAGTTTGCTGCTAGGATGCACTCAAAAGTTGTTTACTTTGAAGTATAACATTATGAATAGAGTTACCTAGCTTGATATAAGTCTTCACAGTAAAAAATAAGTTGAAGCTCAGACTTCGAATCGGCTTGGTGTAAGCCCGATTTGCAGGCTTGACAAGATTATCTACTTACTCTATCCTCTTTAGTGTAACTTCTTGTTTCCCAACTGTGTTAAGGACCATAGAAAATGATATTCTAATTGTTGTTGATTATAATGTTGTAATTAGCTGGAAGCTGAAGATCAGCAAGCTGCGGGAAAGCGATCGCGGCTGCTACATGTGCCAGATAAACACGAGTCCCATGAAGAAGCAGGTGGGCTGCATCGATGTGCAAGGTGCGTATTGAGAATTGTTCAATTGTAGCGCAGATAATGGAATATTGCGTGCTTACAGTGCCGCCCGACATTATTAACGAGGACTCCTCGGCGGATCTGGCCGTGCAGGAGGGCGAGGATGCGACGCTGACATGCAAGGCCACGGGCAACCCGCAGCCGCGTGTCATCTGGCGACGCGAGGATGGCGAAATGATACTCATACGCAAGCCGGGCAGCCGCGAGCTCATGAAAGGTGAGTTGTGGGCCACAGTGCCACAATAAAGCCCCGGCAACTAACAGTCAAGCACAATCTAAAACACAGTGGAAACCTACAATGGCTCCTCGCTGAGATTGCTGCGCCTGGAGCGGCGCCAGATGGGCGCCTACCTGTGCATCGCCTCCAACGATGTGCCGCCGGCCGTCAGCAAGCGGGTCTCGCTCAGCGTTCAATGTAAGTGTCTTCCTCTCTGGCCAGACCCATTCAGACCTCGTTATACTCATTTACAGTTGCGCCCATGGTGCGTGCTCCTAGCCAGCTGCTGGGCACGCCGCTCGGCTCCGATGTGCAGCTGGAGTGCCAGGTGGAGGCATCGCCGTCGCCCGTTTCCTACTGGCTGAAGGGTGCGCGCACATCGAATGGCTTTGCCAGCATCTCGACGTCCAGCCTGGAGGCGGGCTCGCCCGGACCCGAAATGCTGCTGGACGGGTGAGTAGCTAAAAGTCCATTGTCCATTGGCCACAGCAATAGAATGTGACCCAAATTCACTGTCCAGGCCCAAATACGGCATCACCGAGAAGCGCGATGGCTATCGCGGCGTCATGTTGCTGGTGGTGCGCTCCTTCTCCCCCTCCGATGTGGGCACCTATCATTGCGTCAGCACAAATTCGCTGGGCCGTGCCGAGGGCACGCTGCGGTTATACGGTGCGTATGCGTTATCTGCCAGCAGTTGGCCTTTGGGGATTTGTCTAACCTTTGACCTTGCAGAAATCAAGCTACATCCGGGCGCCTCATCTAGCAACGATGAGCACCACAATTTCATTGGCGGTAAGCTCCCAAGTTCCATACGTTCTCCAATTCTCCAAGCCAATTAATGATTTATCTTGCCGGCAGGTCTCGAGGAGGCGGCGCGCAATCTGGCCGCCTCCAGGCAAGCCGCTCGGCTCCTGCAGCCGCCCCTCGCCCTGTTGTTGCTTTGGGCATGGAGCGCGTGATATCAAAACTGAGCGAGAGCCGGCAAACAAGTATTCCTACAGGTGTTACCCAGCCCCTGAGCCGCATCCGCACCAGCACCCGCACCCCAACCACGATCGAATGTGTTGCTTACGCTCCCGCTCAAGCATCCCACCACCCCCCGCCCATGCGCTATTGTTTGTTTTTATTTAGGCTTCCTTGGTTTTTTTTTTGTTTTGATTTCGTGGCATCGATAAACGCAACATATTGCTACACATATTGCCAGAGCGCTGTGGGCGGCAGCCACGCCCCCCCCCCCCCCCCCCCACCCCGCAACCCCATATCATTCACATACGTATCGCGCAAATTGTTGTTCAAGCCCCCCCCCCTCCACATCCGATAAAACAAAAAAAAAATGTGGCGCTAATATGTGTAAGCCACAAAATAAATGCCCGATTCCCGAAAAATATGTCGCATAATGTTACATTGCATATAAATTAAACACGAATACTATAAAATAGTGCATAAATATAATTAACGAAAATTATTGAATAAATTATCGCAAAAACTTATGCAAATTTTGTTTCTCCACTTTTTATACCCTTGCAGAGGGTATTAGAATTTTGTCGTGAAATGTGTAACGCATAGAAGGAGACATCTTCAACCCCATAAAGTATATATATTCTTGATCAGCATCAACAGCCGAGTCGATAAATCGGTCGGAAATTAAGTTGTTGTATGAAAAAACATTTTGTTTATCAAGATATCTTGACCAAACTCGGCATTAACTATTTTCCCTGTGCTTCTTAGATACGGACAAAGCACTATAAGCATTATGAAAAGGTTGGGTCTGCAAGGGTATTAGATCTTCGGCGTGCCGAAGATAGGCTTTCTTTCTCGTTTTTTTTGTTAATTAATTAATTCGACGGGCTTGCCAGGCAGCGCTTGGTGCGCCATTGGCCGTTCATATCGATCCACTGGGTGGCCACTAAATGGAGGAAATATATGTGTATTCAGATTTATATATATATATATATATCTCAATTGGGTAATTGGGCCTACCCCAGCGAGTGCCCAGAAGAACTGGGCAGGCGGCGTGCAGCGTCCGTCTGTCGCACTCGGCCGCATTGTTCATATTGTGCCAGATCAGGGCCGAGCCCTGGCGCGGCTGCACGGCCAGGCCCAGGGCCGGAAACGAGGTGAGTCCGCCGAGCTGCACGTCGGTCAGCTGCAAGCAGAAAAGCGGGCCAGGCCCGGGCAATAGAAAGCAAAGGGGCGACACATAGAAGGCGGGAATTAAGCCCACAACTTACGTAAAGCAAAATGGTGGCAATGCGATTATCTTTGATGAATTCAACTAGGGCAGCCTGCCAAATAAATAAAAAACCAAATACTCAAAGTTAGATTTACATAACCAAAGGACATTCATAAACAATTCAACATGTGCTCGTGGAGAGGGAACTCCACCAACTCACATCCAGCAAGTCCAAGTATTCTCATCCACAATTTGAAGAAGTAAGAGAGCTTTGGCAGGCAAACTGACTAGCCTGACTAGCAAATACCCTGTACCAAAGGCAGTTGAAATAGTGTCCATTTAGTCTGTGCCTGTAACTTCTGCTTCTAACAAAACCAGAAACTCAAGCTCTAGAAAGGAGCCATACTTCTCTATTCAAGCTTTCACAGATTCTGCTCTATGGGTCGGTAGGTGCTTTACATTCCCATGAAACCCGTATACCCTTTTTACTTATTTTCAACGAGCTCAGGTTATAAATAGAACTCGCAGCTTTATAGATGAAATATTAAAAAACAGAGTAGCTACATTTACCAGGCCGAAGTTTAGATACCCTTTCGCAGATATGCGAGGCGAATTGTATAGCTCGTAATGTCGGTAGGTTTTTCCTTCTTTCTTTAGATTCATATGCTATAGTATCATAAAATCAGTTTAAAGTTTTCATACAATTGATTTCCGCTCATTTTCCACCCTCGTTGGTGGATTTCTCAATATTATTCGTAATGTTTTGGCCGGAAAAGGGGCTTTCGTTAAAACCAAATTCTGTGCATTGATCGTCAGTCAATCAGTCAATCAGTCAGTCAGTCAATCAGTCAGTCAGTCAGGGAGACTAAAGTGATGTAAGATAGGAGGACAGAGACAGACTTGGAACTCACGTCGTCTTGACTGAACCAGCAATCGAAGTGCATGTAGTACTGCCCGCCAATGCCGTAGTTGAGCACGGCCAGCTGGCCGCTGTTGGTCAGATCGAAGCCGGACATGTCCTCGAGGCGCTGGCGCAGGCGGTGTCCTTGACGGGAATCGTTGTAGGAGAAGCCCGCGTTCATGGCAAAGCGTTGGGCATTCGCCCTGCCTGCGCCCACAAGGGCGCGACGCAAATAGGGTTTGGTCAGTCGCATGATGTCTTCGCGCTCGTTGGCCGGAACGACATCGTGATAGAGCACCATGTAGGGATCAAGGCTCAGCTGCTCGAGCTTGAGTGGCGCCAGGCGGAGAAAGGGCGTGGTCGCCGTATTGTAGCGACAGCGCAGCGAGGAGCTGACTAAAGGATGACTGTGCCCGCGGCAAAGGCGCAGGTGCACGAGATGCTGCTTGGCGGCCGCAATGAAAGCCAGAGCTTCCTGCTTGTCCGGCGCTCTGGTGGCGTGCTCCAACACCTGCTCATAGGTGTGCCCCACGGCTGGCCAATTGTCTGCAAGCGAACGAGCGGTTCAAGCGACGGATCTGTCTTTATTTCGAATATAACAACTAACCCCGGGAAATATGAATGTGTGCTAATTCGCGCAAAATCTCCGCACGGTCCATCTTCAGCAGCTGGTAGATGGGCTCCGGCGTGCCCGGGTACTGCTCCAGCGCTAGCTCCAGCCACCTGATGGCCTGCTCGTCCTCCCCGTTCTTGCGCAGATGCCGTGCCACGGCCACGCAGTCGAGTGTGCTCAGTCTGGCGCTGCAATTAAAGATTGGAGTTGTGCCCGTGTCTGGAGTCTGGAGACCTACTTGTATTGCTTCTGGCTGAGCTGGCCCTGCACCATGCGCTGCTCGTCCAGCTCATAGACCTGCTGTATGCGCAGCAAGCCCTTGATCGCCTCCTCCAGATCCGTTTCGGTAATCACGTCCAGGCGATAGTCCGATATCTGCTGCAGATCTGTGGACAACTTGCATCAAATATCTGTGGAGGCATTTGCCAACGCCATCTTCCACCCACCTGCACCCGGTTCCAGATACATGGATTTCAGGATCTTGGCCGCATCCGTGTGCATGCGCCGCACCAAGGGCAGACTGTTCAGCGGATTGGCCACATAGGCCTCCGGATCGATTCTGGCCTGCTGCTGCCGTTTGATGGCATCATCCAGAATCCTATATACATATAGTTATTCGATATACACTTCAGTTCTCTGGCTTCACTTACAAGCGGGTGAGCTTCACCTTGCGCTCCAGGCCGGCCACGTGGAGGCGCAAATCCGTGAGCAGATCGTTCTCGCCTTGGAGCACTCGCGCCATGTCATGCGTTGACGTGGCCACAGAGTTCTCAACGACCGCCAGTTTTAGGAGCAGCAGCAGCTGTAGCAGCAAGTAGCTAGACAACATTTTGTATGCAAGTTTTCAACAGAAATAAATACGCAAGACTGGCCTCGGCTCTTAACGCGGAATACCCCTAACGAATTGATTAAACGTGTTAATCGCCGGGGCTTGAAAAAAAGAGCTGAGAAACGTGAACAGGAATAAGCCAGAAATGAGGCAATATTATTTGCATAGTTCCTGTCGAAGATGATATTAAATGAAGTTCTTCGAGTTTGATTTTACAGGGTACTTCAAGTCGGGGAATGCTTGGATTCCTAGAGTAATTTGAAAATCGGATTTGCAATAAACTTTTAGAGTTTCAATGTTCATTATTTTAATGAAATTATTTATGTTAATAATTATATTCTGTAATTCATATTAACAAGTTGAAAATTTGTAATTGAGGAGATGAGAATTGCATAGAAGGGCGATATTTATAAATTCAATTTTCCGTATTGTTATTATTAATATATATAATTCTATTTAATTATGATTTTAAAAAGTAAGTTTCATCGAAAATTAACATAAACAGGCCAAAAAACTGTAATGAAATACTGTGTGCGTTCCCCTAGGAGATGAGAATTGCATAGAAGGGCGATGTTTGCGGGAGAGGAAGCAAGTAAAAGTGAGCTAAAGACAAGGAAGGCGAACTTAAGAATGGACTGTCTGGAACCTATTTTAAATACACAGCATAAAAAGTGATAGATATTCTTTTTGTGTGTATACTCTACGAGAACCTAAATAGCAATGCTCAATGAACCAGGTCTCAAAATCGATATTTATCGATTCTAGCAAAAGATTAATACAGAAAGGTTCCCCATTGAGAACACTCTCCCCCATTTGGGGCAGGCATTCTCTTGAAAAAATATCGATGTGAATTTCTTCAAGAGATTTCACATCTGAAGTGTTTGCCCTTTGGCTGAATGTGAGGTCGCTGTCAAGTGCTTGTCAAAGTTATTTAACTGTCGCACACTCTGGACGGAACGAGAGGTGATCAATATGAAGTCTAAATATTTACAAACAGTCGCTTTTTTTTACATTTCTTTTACATTTTATATTTTCTCCTTTTTCCAGTTTTTTGGTTTGTTTTTTGTTGACACAGCATTTTATGTCAACCAGATGCAGATGTTTGGCTGTCGAGCTTGAGAGATTTTGTTTTCAGAAATCTCCATATTTTTGTTGATTTGCCTCCGACTGTTGAAAAGTTTTTGCACCTGCTGGTAGCTTCATCAAGATGGACGTCGAGGTTGGCCAACGCAAACAGAAGACCTCGCCACGTAACGAGCCATATGTCCATCCGGTGAATGGGATTGTCCAGCCGCCAGTGATGCCGCCGCCGGGCCGACGCGGACGCAGAACCAATGTGCTGGAGAGCCTGAAGTCGGTGCTGAAGTATGTGTGGAAGAGCCGCTGGTCGTACTATTTCCGATATCCGGTGGATGCAGTTGCTCTCTGCATACCGGACTATCACAATTTGATAAAGCATCCGATGGACCTGAGCACGATACGGCGGCGATTGAACAACAACTATTACTGGAAGTCGGACGAGGCGCTGGGCGACTTTGAGCTAATCTTCGAGAACTGCATGCTGTACAATCTGGAGGGCAGCGAGGTGCACAAGGCGGGCAAGGAGCTGCGCGAGGCCTTCTATACGCGCCTCTCCTACATCGACATGAGCAACGAGACCGAGCTGATCCCGCAGGCTGTGCTCAAGAAACGCAAGGCCGAGTCCATGATGCAGATGAATCCAATCTATGAGTGCGTGACACCGGCTACTCCAAAGCTGGCCAAACAGAGTACGGAAACTGTTTGGTCACCAGCCGAGATTGAGATTTTCACCGAACCCGAACTCTACTCGGAGCCCATCAAGTTCGAGGTGAATCCAACCATTCTGTACGAATGGCAGAACTATCTGGTCGAGAAGAGTCACTCGGAGCAGCTGCTCCGTGGGATGACTAAGCGCAAGCGTAACCTGGTCAATTGGCCCTTCAAGTGCTGCGACCTGTGGCGGGAATATGCCCAGAATCTGCATTACGATCACGATGCCGAGGAGAAGCTGGACTGGGATATTCTCAGGAACAGGCTCGAGAACAATCAATTCGATAGCTTTGAGGAGTTCGTCGACAAGTTGCGGCTCATGTTCCAGAACGCTTTGACCTGTTTTCCCGTTGATGAAACTCTGATCGAGGCGGTGAATGAGATAAATGATATTCTAGAGTCTCGCTTGGAAGACTTTAAAAGTTCTATAGCTGAAATGAAGATGCGGGTGCGACAATTGGTAGCAAAAAAACTTCAAACTTATAACGCAATTATTGCCCAGCAGGCCAGTTTAATTAATTCTGAAGAGAATTTTTCAAATGCGCACGAATATTGTGAATAATGTTTCAAGTTTTTGTAATAAAGGAAAAAAAAGTCCCTCCAAAATTCAAAATGATAACTGTTTTTGGAGTCTTCGTAACATTCCGCCAGGTGTCGCCAAAGTTGACAATGCGACTTCTACTTAACATCGCCAATTGAGTTAGTAGTTGGTGTAGGCTAAACTAAACGGTCGATAAAAATCAACTTATTGGCTTTACGTCTTTCAGTAATAGTCTTACATTCAAATACTATTATATTATTCAATTAGTAAATCATTATTGTTGTCTTTAAGGAAATGCGATATTAATTCCTTCATACTGCAGTAGCGATACTATCGATAATGCGGTATCTGCGCAGAATGGCATTTTTAATATCGATACGCGATGATATCTGGCAACTGCGAGCGTACAGAAGCTGCTCGAGAAATTTCGTTAAAAATCGGGCAAATGTCGCAAAAAATTGATAATTTGTTGTGAAAAGTGTTTATTAGTGTTCTATGAAGTGTATAGTTATTCAAATTGCATTATTAAATGCCTTAAAATGTGAAATAAAAAGCTGAAAACCTGATTTGTGAAGAGGTAGCCTTTTTTTCATCATCGTAAAATACATACAGACATTCGCTCGCACACACGCAACTGTATATATGTATAAATAACGCGCGGGCGCGAGAGAGAGAAAGAGCGTAAGCTAGTGTTCAATGTGTGCTTGTGTGCGTGAGTGTTCATTGCGCTGTTTTATGTTTCGTCAATGAGAGAGCAAGCGCGCCAAGCAGGCGAATGCGAGAGCAAAGCAAAAGCCAACAAATAAGTGAACGAAAATAAAAACGAAAAATTCCGAATAACGAACAAGTCGTGTGCATTGAATGTTGAATGTTCAATTTTGTGTGTGCACTTGTGCAATTGTGCAAGGCGAATTATGTTTTAACATAAACCCAAAATAGTTGGATACATAGCAACAACAATTTAAGGAACAGCTACATCAAAAGGTAAATACACAATTCTACGGCCAGGCGTTGTCGGCGCATTTGTTTTGACCGATGAGTCAGACCTCGCGTATTGTTTTTTTTTTCCCCCTTATGTAGTCATCGCATCGCATCGTTTCTAACAAATGCATTTTGACACTTAAACTAACACCTCATTTACATGCATAAATACGTACATTTACTTACATTCGTACATACATAGTTAGATTAGTGTCATGTATAGTTGTTGTAGTTAGTTTACAGTGAAACGAATATCGCGACGGCGCCCAATAGCCAAAGCCTACAAATTATACTATTAAATGTATCTAAATACATTTTTATCTACGTCGTTTCGTTATTTACAAACATACGTGCATTATTAAATACTATAGAAAGCAAGTTGGACAACAACAACGGTAGTCGGTTCACACACACACACACATTCATCGGGAGCGAGAGAGCGAAAAATAGAGACAACAGCAACAAACAAACCAATAAAACAACATCAACAAATAACAGTTTAATGTGTCTAGTGAGTACCTACAGTTAATTGTTTTTGTTGTCGTGGCTCTCATTTCAAATCAAATGTTAGCTTCTCTCTCCCTCGCTCTCTCTCTCTCTGTCTCTCCCACATTTCGGCTCTAGCACGCACCAAAGCGGCCAAGTGCTTGTATTTATAACTAAAATTGCGCTGATCGTTTGCGTTGCTGTTAAAACTTTTTAATAAATTATGTGCATACACAGACACATGCATACATACACATGCACAATATGTGTATAATAAAATGAAAAACAGGCAAATCGATTGGCCCGAGTTGCTTTGCTTACGACAGCTCGACGCTGTCATTGCTGTTGCTGTTGCTGTTGTTGTTGTTGCTCTCTCAGTTTTGTTATTGTTGTTATTGCTTTTATTGCTGCTGCGGACGCTGATGATAATTTTTTTGATGAATAATTACGAAATATTTTTTACGTGTTTCTATTATATTTATTTGCATATGCTATGTGTGTGTTTGTGTCCCTCTCTCTCGGGCGCGCTCTCTTGACACCATCTTTGCTTTGGCATTTTTTGTCGATCAAAAAAACTGCGAATTCCGAATCTGAAGTGTGTGAGCGTGAGAAACTACGCGCTAAATGAGTAATTGCTCATATTGTATGTATGTATGTATGTATTTCCAATTGTGCGTGTGTGTGTGTGTGCACATGTGTGTGCATGTATTAGTTTATTTGCAAATTTGCCTTTCAAAGTTAACAGCAGCAGCGGCAGCAGCGGCCAGTGGGCCGTAGGCTAATGCCTGAAATATTGAAACGTCGCAAATTTGTTGCCGTCTGTTTTTACGCTCTGCTGAGCTGACGCAACGGCAACTGCAACTGTAGTCAACTTAACGCACACACCTCGCAAATGTGCTTAAGTTATTTACATTGCCAGCCAAAATATTAGTTCTCATTTGTATTAAACATTCTGCCCAAAATTTCGCAGTGCGTGCAGCAGCTGCTGCCACTTGGAAAGAACCCACCACCACCACCACCAACACACACACACACACACATAATTACCAACGCCACCGCCAACAAAAGCAAATCAAACTAGAGCTGGGTCGTGTCTTCAATCGTGACACGAGCACGCACGTCTCAATTAGATAAAATTATATTAAACTAGAACTTATAAATTAAAGTACACCGTGCTTGATTTGGAAAAGATGTCAAAACAACAAAAATACTAAATTATTAAATATTTAAACAAATTTTTAGTTACTTAAATTATCGTGCTCGTGTCGTGCTGAGAAATTCTTTCATCCCAACTGTAAATCAAACAGTAGCAGAACACCATCTAACATTGGCTGCTGCTGCTGCGCTCGTTGTTCTTGTTGTTTTTGTGTTCGTGGCAATTAAGCATCAAACTGCGTTTCACGCTCAGCTTTTAGTGCTCATTCATACCCTCCTCAAGCACACACATACATACACACGTACAATACTTATGGGCTGCGCTCCCACATATTGGCGCGCACATTTTCTTTTACCTTCGCTGCTTGTTTTGATTTGAACGTCTTTTTGGGCACCTCATTCACCTATGCCGAACTCGCACACACACACACACACACACTCTCTCTCTCTCACACCCCCGCAAATGCTCGATAATTGGCCCCCACCTTCGCATCGACTTGGCCTCGGCACCCATGTTTACTCTCCCTCTCTCGCTCTCGCTCTCTCTCTCCCGCCCGCTCTCTTTTTATTTCTGGTCGGGACACATTTGTTGCTTGTTGTCTTTTGCTGCTTAATTCAACTTCTTCAGCTGCTCCGCTTGGCCTGTTTGGCTTTCTCTTGTTCGGCTCCATTGCGCTCTTATTTACACTGGTCTTTGGTCTCATTTTTTTCGTGTTGTCTTGCTGGTCTGGCCTACACATAAATGCACACATATACATGTATATAATTTTGGCATTTTTGCATAATTTTATGCCAATTTACATACCAACATGTGTGTATGGGTGTGCATATTTTGTAGCACTCATTTTACACACACACGCATGTATCTATTTAGAAGCTCGGCGTGCATTCGTGTTGGTGTTATGATTGTCGTGCTCACGATTTTAATCGTTCGTCAGCCGATTCGGTATTCAATCGACATCTCGCTTGGCATCGTTGTTGATGTTGTTATTGTTGTTGATGCCGCTCGCCTGTCTGGTCTGCTCCCTCCTCTGTTGCTGTCGCTGCTTGACTTTAATCTGCTCAATTACTCGCAATTTGCAAGTTGTGTGTGCGGCTCTTTGAGTATGTCGCTGTCGCTCTCTCTGTCTCTGTCTATGCCGTTGCCGTTGCCTACCTGTCTGAGCGTGTGTGCGTGTGCGTGGCTGTGTGACAGTCTGTCTGTCTGTCTGTCTATCTGTCTGTACACATTTCGTTTCGTTTTGCTTCTCATTCGCCTTATTCATGTTTTTGTACGTTTTGCGCTTGTTTTGATTTCTTAATCTTTTTACCATAATTGATGGCAATTAAATTAAAGGTGTGTGTGCGGCCTCGCGCCTCGACGTCGACGTCGACGTCGTTGTCGATGCCGATGTCGCTGTCGCTGTCGCTGTCGTTTTAGCTCGGCTGATGCTTCGGTTCGGTTCGGCTCGGCTCGGCTCGGCTTCGCTGGAGATTGTTGTTTAAATGTATGTATGTATGCATGCAGTTTGTTGTCAGCCACCGCCAGCAACTCCACCTTCATCTCCACCTTGCGCCACGCCCCTCGCACCTCGCGTGACTTTTATTTATTTGTAGCATTCAAATGATGCCCATCAATTGCTTATGTTGTTGTTGTTGTTGTACCCTTTGCAAGGGTATTCTAATTTAGTCACGAAATGTGTAACGCATTCTTTTAGCTGCGAGTTAATCAGCTGTTGGGTTCGATCAAGTTCAAGATTACAATATGGAAATTGACATAATTTATTACCTTATATTCAATTAATAATAAAAAATTTAAAAAAAAAGTTTAAAAGATCTATGAAATAGACTTTCGGAAAGCCATCCATTAAAATCGGGCTAAAACTGAGTTAACATTTGCTATTGACCTACGGACTGGCCTTTAAAAGGAGAAGCCTTTTGTATACATTGAATTTCATGTAAATGGAATATATTTATATATATGTATATATATAAATGAAATTGTTAATTAAAGTTATGTTTGCCTTGTCTTAAGTTGGCTATATTAAACCTTGTCGACATTCAATCTAAGCCAGGTCTACATCTTCTAGATAGTCTCGATCGAAACTAAAGTTGTTCTCTATGCCCCCCTCCGTGCTGGCACATCCTTGCTTAGTACGACTTTTTTTTCATCTGAAATAACAGGGTATGTCTAAGTCGTTACACTCTGCTTGCGTTGCCGTGTGCCGCATTTGTGATGGCCATCCACTCGGCTTTTGTCATCTTTAGCGAGATTTTATTGATTAGTTCAATATACCTGCGCTTGATACCTGCGGCTGTCAGTGTCATTTGGCATATGCGTATGTATGTGAGCATGTGTGTGAGTGTATGTATGTGTAATTGTACAGCGATTTACTTAATTAATGTCAACCACACGCTGTTATTAATTCTAGTTTGCCAGCTTTATG